GGGACGCGACCCAGTGTCAGGGATGAAGGGTGAGTGGGTAGGAGCAAAAAAATAGTTCAAAGCAGGGCGCAGAAGAATTTCTTTTCCCGGAAGGGGTTTTCTGAGGTGGGCACGGGGCTAATGAGGGGGTCCTCGCAGGCGTGGGCATCGCAGTAGGTCATCAAGTCAGCAGCCGCTTTGGACACCTTGAGGAGGAGAGGAAAAAAAAACAAAATTAGAGAATGGCAGTCATCTCCTGGTTTTCGATTCAACGGCGTTTATAAAATCACAGCTACAAATCTGGGCTGTAGTACACTATATAGACACAAGGGGGCAGACCAGAGAAGAAAACCGGCTACTCGATGGGTTTTTGCTGCCATCTAGTGGCTGCTCGGGGTGTTGCAGCCTTGTTGGTTGGCGCTGTTTATCCAAGGTGGTGTTTCGCTAACTAACGACTTGGAAGGTGCATGCTGGCAGGGGAATTCTGGGAGTTGAAGTCCACGCACCTTGGAGTTGTCAAAGAAGTAAACGCCCAGGGTCTAATTTGCCCCCCCACCCCCGGAGGTCCTTTCCTCACCTTTATCCTGCACATGCTGGCTTCAATCTTCAGCTGTTCCACCATTTTGCGAGCTTGGCCGATGCTCATTGTGCTGTTGACAGGGGTTTCGCCCTTCATGAGGAACCTGCTGAGGAGATCGGAGAGGAGAAAGGCCACCCAAGACCAGTCACCGTAAGGGAAGACGTTGAAGACGTGCTTCAAAATTGGCCCTAACTAGTATCCTTTGCAAAGCAACTTGGCTAGAAGTAGAATTTGCTGAATCTTAGCACTTCGGGCTGCATCGCAGTATTCCAGGCGACCACTGGAGGGCACCCATGCAATTCCAAAACTAGTACAGTAAGGCATTGCACCACCTAGTGGACGTCGGTAAGTTTGCCCTTCACAGGATGAGTTAAACCCAAGTAGAAAGTACAACTAAGGTCTTATGAACTCGAACCAAAGGTGTTTCACCTGCCCGAACTTTCTGGAGAGCAATTTCCATCCTATCATCAAGACTGGATAAGTTTAGTCAAAACTCTCAGCCCAGCTCTGCCTGGGGAATTTCTTATTTCAGGAATTCTGTTCTTTGTGGTGTTCTTGCAAGATATCTTTTTAACTATAACGATACCAGAGCTGGAAGGGACTTTGGAGGTCTTCTAGTCCAACCCCCTGCTGAAAGCAGGAAGCCCTTTACCATTCTAGGCAAATGGCTGTACGGTCTCTTCTTAAAATCTTCCAGTTTTATATGACTTTAGAACAAAAATGGATCCTGTTTTTGGATTATAACTAGCAACATGACTAGGCCCAAATTCTCCCAGCAGGGGACCGAGTGTGTGGGACTGCATCTACCAAGGCACAAGTATTATTTTTCACCAGGGTTAAACAGGATAGTTCATGTCCAACCTCGACTTGCCATAATTTGAACAATTACGGGTTCCTTAGACACAGCTTATCGTATCGACTCCAACCTGACTTGATTTGCACAACATGCCATTCGCCCTGCAAAAGAGCGACATTTAGGGTGTAGTTGGGTTCCTATAACACAAATCACAACCTCGGTGTGTTGTGTGAATGTAAACCCAGGCAGAACGCAGGGCAGGAGAGGAGAGGGAAGCAGAACAATGAATTAAAAATAACTCCAGCGTAACAAGAGACCATTTTCTCATTTTCTTATAAACCGTAATCGTCTAAATAACCTTTAGGGCTTCATTCAAAGCCAGGACGCTTCACTATTTTTCCTACAAAGACCGAATCTTGCATACGATAAAGACAAATTAACTTCTCAAGAAAAACATATCCTTTTCCTTTGGTTCTGATCCAATGTAAATTTCAGATCCCCCCCCCCCAAGCAAATAGCCCCCGCCCCATTCTGAATTTTTTTGTCCTCCTTCCCCCCCCCCCCCATCACCATTTGTTTTCTGCCACAAGCCCTTCTCTCATCTCAGAGGCACCCAAGATAAATAGAAAAGAAAAAAAATCTATTCGAACAAAATGAAGAGACATTACAAAACAAAAATAAAAGACACTCCCAATATAGTATGACATCCAAAGCCATTCACTCCTCTAGCAAGGAGATGGGGAATATATATATATATTTTCTGTTTCCATCTGTTGTTTCCTACCCCAATAGAGGACAAGATCTGTCCGTGTCTGCCTGTTATCTATCCCTTCTGCCCACCCTTATTTATCTTTTCCTTACCTTTTCCTTCCATCCATCCATCTTTCTCTTTCCTTCTATCCATCCATCCGTTTCCTCCCTTCCTCTCTACCTCCTTCATCCATCCATCTTTTCCTCCCTCCTCTTCCTCCTTTTCTTCCTTCCTTCTCCCCCTCTCTGCCTTCCTGCCTTTACTTTATGCCCCATCCATCCATCCATCTTCAACCTACCTACTTACCTCACCTATTGCATCCTAATAGTTCCTATGAACAGGTCCCTCATATAGCTGGGCCCTTTCTCACCCCCCCCTCTCTTTCCTCTGCGGAGATTTCCCTTTATATTTACATGGAAATCATTTCTCCCCCACCCCCAAGCCTGACGGCCCCTACCCCCACCCCAGAGACCCGAAAGCGGGGGGGGGGGGGAAACCCAGCCCAAACCAACACACGCACCTTTGAAGAGATTTTTTCTGCCAAACGTGAAGATAGAGCGGAGTCAGACCGTTCAGGCTGGAGGCTGAGATGATTTGGGGGGAAGTCACCTGGGCTGGGAGGGAGGGACGGAGTGGGTGGGGGGGCACTGCAGCAGCCCCTACAGAATCCTCTCCAAGGTGGATGACCAGAAGGGGCTGTTTTGTTTTTTTTTCCCCGTCCCTTGACTTCCTAAGACATTTGGCACACCTTGGCTAAGAGGAAATTGGATTCAACGGATCGATAATACCTTGAGGATTCCACAAAGCAATTAATGCTGGGACCAAACCATCTCTTTAAAAGGGGGGGGGGGGAGAGAGGAAGGATTGATGGTACATACCCCCTCACCCCCAATCCCTCCCAGGCAGCCATTGCTTGAAAGCCAGGACTGGAAAGTGTGCGAGGGGGCTGGCATAGCCTGGCTCTATTACGGAAGACGTTGATTGAGGAGGGGGGCACGAAAGGAGGAACAGGAGTGAAAAGAGTGTGCCCTCCTTGTGCAAATATGAACGCCGGGGAGCTGCAGTATTGTCTGCAATTACTTTCATTTACAAATCTGACATCAACAGCCTTTAAAAAGAAAAAAAAAATCCCCTCTCAGTTCACTGGGCACAGGGTTCCAAAACCTGGCTTGCTTTTCCTACATCACCTTGGAAAGGAAGGCTGGGTGGAATATGTGCCTAATCAGGGTTAAACATAAACAAAATAGTGTATAGTCACCAGAAGGAAGGAAGGAAAGAGTAGGGGAAGAAGGAAGGAAGGGGAGAGAAGGAAAGGAGAAAAAGAATGAGAAGGGAAAAGGAGGGAAGGAGAAAAGGAAGGGAGGGAGGGAAGGAGAAAATGAAGGAAGGAAGGGGGAAGGAGAAAAGGAAGTGGGAGAGAAGGAGGGAAGAATGAAAAGGAAGGAAGGAAAAACGGAGAGGGAAGGAGAAAAAAGGGAAGGAAGGAAGAGAGGAGGGAAGAGGAAAGGAAAGGAAGGAAGGAAAAGGGAGAGGCAAGGAAGAAAAAAGGGTATTAGCAATTGATACTAAAATAGAGCTTCACAGCCTATTTATGTATTTTGTTACGGCATTGTGCTGAGTTGGGCTGGATTTTTGTTTTATAATTCAATAATAATATTATTGAAATGGGTTTATACAGCATATGTTCCGCTAGCTTGTAAAATGTTTTTAAACCACCCCAAACATCCCTGAAGATAGGTTCCTATTAACTCAAATGTTTTGGTTCACAGACTTGGTCTAAGATGTGGTTTATTTAACCATAGTTTGTTTACACAACATGCTTAGTTATAAAGACACAGCCAATTGTGGCTTTTTTATTTAAATGTACGTAAATGGAACATTTAATGTAAAATTTATACCAGGTCAAAACTTCTTAAACAAGTACCTAGAGAATTGCATTCCAAATAGCTATTTCACAATTAGATACATGTTCAAAATTCCTACCAAGATTAGTCACTTGTTATTACATGTATTCAGTGGATATTTTTATTCACTGTAAGGCCATCATCTTAAATATCTTTACATCGTGCATCCCTCGTGGAAATAAATTGGATTTACCAATAAATAAATTAGCTTTTAAGTTGTGCCAGAAACTTGGGGAAGTTGTAGGAAGAAATTTAATTTATAAGTCAGTAAGTTCCATAAAATATTCTGATTCAGGCCCTGAATCGTAAATATCAAAAGCTCTGCCATTTATGATGGAGACAAACTTTTCCATTTTTCTCAGATCAATTGCTGGGTATATACGTATAACGTTCAATGCTCACATTTTTATCCTAGAGTTTATCACTTAATCTACTAAAAAAACAAACAAACTGAATTTTCATGATACACCAAATGGCAAGCAACCCTCTTGTAAACAAAGCCAGAGAATTGATTTTAACAGAGCTTAAAAGGAATTTCTTTAGGAACCTGACATACAGCGACAGAACATTCCTTTCCCAAGGAATCTATGCCTAACCCACAAATCTCGGGTGGTGCGAATGCAGGCCCCAACTTGTAAGGAAGCCTAAAATATATTCAATTATGAAATATATTTAATCTGTTTCACTATTAGAAAAAGAAGAATCAGAAAGCAGGGGAGCCCTGGGGTTGAAATCCCTTTTAGTTTCCTGAGTGAGCATCCTTCCCCTCCAGCATCTTCTTCAGAGAAAAAGGCAAAGAAAGCGGTCCTCTGCTTCGGCCCGTCTCCATGGAAACGGGAGGCAGGCAGCCACCGCCGCATCCCTCCGGCCACGTGACTAGAAGATGCCGGCGGCCGCAGCAAACAGCGTTGCAAAAAAAAAAAAAGAAAGGCCCCTCCTCTCCTCCTCCTCCGTTCCCCCTCCCTCCTCAGGGGCGGGGCCAAACCCGGAAGAGGTAGAACCAAACCCACATTTGATTAAAATAAATAAATAAGGGGGGGGCGGAGAGACTTTAAAAGGAGAATCCAGAGGTGGATCAACAGCAGCATCGCTGGAAGTAATTCAGGTGCTTTGAATTTTTATATATATATATATTTATATTATATATATTTTATATATATTATATATATTTCCCCTTTTGGAAACTGACTAGCTTCTTCTCTGACCCCCCCCCCCCCCCCCCCCCCCCCGCGTTGTCCCCCACCCCCGCGGGGGGGTTTTTTTTAAAACCCCCCCCTGCCCTTTTTTCCTTCTGTATTTTCCCCCCCCCCCGCCCCCCCTATTTTCCTCCCCATTCCTGCATGCTTACATATCTCTAACCCTTTTGCAAGACTTCTGCCTGTCCTGTTTGCCTCTCTTAAACTGAGATGGGATGGTGGTTTGTGTTTGGAAGCCGTTTCCCTTCCTCTAAAGAAGCTAAACCAAGATTGGGGGGGACTGTGATGTACTTTATCTCCCTGTTTCTAATTAAAAACTAGGTTTCCCCCCCCCCCCACTTTCCTCTATCATAACAGACCCTCTAATTTTTCCCTCCCTCGTGTACAAAATTTGCAGGATTTGTATATTGTGCTAGCTTTATAAATTAATTATAAAATTATAATTAATTTTTTAAAAATTAAGAATGCTTAGAATTTAGCTAGAAGCTGAACTGGGCGTTATTGGGAAAGGGGCTGTAATTCTAAATGTTTAAAGGCTGCTAGTTTGATTGCCAGAGCATGGTGCAAGTGGAAGCAGTATGAGTAAATTTAAAAGTGTTGTTTTAAAGAACTGTGAGAGATTCTGGTTCAGTTATCAGACAACAGCGAGGAAAACCAAACACTCCTGTAAAAATTCTGTTGTGTGTTTCGTAACTTAAAAAGATCCGATGAGTTGTGTTTTGAATTGGGATTTAACTTTAAGCTCACTATTATGTTATTTATTAAATTTTTATGGCGTCCATCTACCCTAAAGATGATAAAACAAGTAAAAAATAAATAAAACATAAGGTTATACAGATTTAAGTATTATTAGAAACTGTACTAAAACTGCAACTAAGACTCCCAACTAAAACTATTCCTACTAGTGAGTGTAACTTTGGAGCAGCAACTGATTTTGAGCTGCTTTCTGTCCCAAGTTTTGCCTTCTTGCTTGAGGAAAGAAAAAAATTAAAATACTTTGGTTGGGATGTTAGTACAACTTTGCTCCTCGGAATTCTGAATTGGGAGCTTTGCATTGTAATAATTTAACTAACTGTATTTATAGGTTTTTATCTTCCCTCTTTTACAGAAAGCATTTTAAAAATAAAAAAGGTTGAAATTAAGTGTTGGCTATATTGAGAAGTAGGAACCAAATGTATCACTCACAGTCTTTCATTGAGAAAATATGTATTTATTTACTTGCATGTTTGTTTAGAAAATGTACAATTTTTGTCTCTAGAGTTGAAATTGGGCATTTCACATTTAATAAATAAAAGAAGAACATGGCTGCCCGACTCACTCATGGTGACTCCAGGCAGCTTATAAAAAATAAAACCCCAGTGCAAACCCCAATAAACTTTTCAACAAACTCAGATTGTTTTAACATTCAACAACCAGCGTCCGAGAATGTGGCGCCAACGCCCTTCTTTGCCAACTCCATCTGGGTTGCCCAGACAGAATTGGTAAAGGACTGGGTCAGAGGCTCAATTTTTTTGTTGGGGTGGGGTGGGGGGGCTATAATTTCTGATACTCCCCCTCTGCTGTCGAATCTCCTTCTCCAAGAAGTGTTAATGCTCTTTGTTCACAGATCCAAAGCAGGGAAAAGTTGAAGAAGAGAATATGTGCCAAGAGTTTTGCAAAATCAGACACCCTGGATTTATTTTGTCCTTTTTTTTTTTTCCATTTTAGGATCCTTCCGGCCCTGGGGAGTGGAGTCTAAAGAACAGCCTAATTTCTTAAGAGGAGGGGGACTCAGGGCTTGGTGCCCCCCCCTTCCCTTCCTACCCAGCATGTTCTGAGCCCACTCTGAGTGCTTGTTTTTCTCATGAAGCCAAATCCGCTTTCCGAAAACCACCATGCACCAGCGTACCACCTTCCATACGGTCCTTTTCGCCTGTGGGAAAACCTTTTGACTTCCAGATTAAAATCCCTTGCAACGCTTTCATTATTTTTAAATTAAATTCTCCATTGTGCAAGGGACTTCCGGTTTAACGTTGCCAAAACACGGGACGCTCTCTGCTTGGGGTAGGTTGAAACCCCTACCCCACAAAAAAAACAACCCAACGTATTGACTTGCTCTCCTTCGCCAAACCGCCATCATGTCGGCCAGTCCCGGACCTTTCTTGGTGTGGGTCCAAGAAGTGGCCTCTTTGCTCATGTTGCGAGTGCGTCGCACAGTTCTGCAGACGGCTATTTTGTTCTGCGTTTTGCTCCTCCTCCTCTGGATCTCCATTTTCCTCTACGGCAGCTTCTATTACTCCTACATGCCGACGGTCAGCTACGTCAGCCCTGTCCACTACCAGTTCAGGTTAGTGTTCTAGCAGACGTTTGTAGTCAGGATTCCAGCAATTGCCCTAATGAAATCATGATTCTCGAGCCAAACTTCAAAAAAACCCTGCAAAGGATCCGTTAGAGGCGACATACTGGCACTGCCCTGGGTGAAGCCAACTCTGGCCTGTGTCATTTCCAGTCCCCTGTGACCCTGTTTCCCCCCCCTCTCCCCCCTGGGGGTCTCATCAACCAGATTCTCCCAGTTGAGCCCAATCACAGGCTGGGTGTCATTAATCACATTCTCCAATTACGGTCTGGGTGTCATCAATCACGTTCTCCAATTAAATATATTTGAGGGCAAAAACTCTGGTATTTTAGTTACAGTCTTTTAAAGAGAAGAGTTGGAATGTACTTTTGCTTCCAAACTGCTCTTCCAGATTTCCTTCCCCGCTCTTTCTTTTTTAATGGCAACTACTAAAACAGGCCTAGGAATGTTTTATGAGTTGACACTGGGTTAGTAGGAGGTTATTACAGGTGGACCTCAACTTAAGACGGCAATTGGAGCCAAAAATTTCCATCGCTAAGCAAGGCAGTTGCTAAAGCGAGTCACTTCTGATTTTGCCATCTTTTTTTTTTTTGTGGGCCAGGGTTCCTAAGTGAATCAGTGCAGTTGTTAAGTGAATCACATGGTCATTAAGTGAATTTGTCTCCCCCCCCCCATTTGACTCTGTTTGTTGGAAGCTGGCTGGGAAGGTCACCAATAGCAACTCTGCCGCCATTATATAAATACACGCTAGTTTGCAAGTACCCAGATTTGGATCCCATGACCGCAGGGATAGTCATAAGAGCGAGGACCGGTCATCGGTCGCATTCTTTTTCAGTTCTATTGTAAAATTTTGAATGGCCACTAAACGAATGGTTGTAAGTTGAGGACTACCTGTAATTCTTTGCCCCCTCCCCTCAAAAAATTAACCTGTCACAAAAAATAGCTTTGTGAACTTGAGATCTGCTAAAGTGTTGTGTGAATCCGATTTGGGAGAAAGTTTTGGCCTTTTTCAGGACAGACTGTGGCCAGCCCGGACCTGAACTCTGCTCCTTTCCTGTTGCCAACATTTCGTTCATCAAGGACAGCCGAGACCAGGTGAGCGATTTTCAAAAACTGATTGCTGACCACAGTGTTTTGAAATGAAATAAGGTTGCAGGAAACAAAAGTTGTACACTATTTTTTGTTTTTTTTACAGTTTTTGATAATTCTCCCTCCTTTCTTCCTTCCTTCCTTCCTTCCCTCCTTCCCCTTTATCTCCTTCCTTCTTTCCTTTCCTTCCTCCCTTCCTCTCTCCCTTCCTTTCCTCCTTCCCTCCCTCCCTCTCCCTCTTTCCCTCTCTTTCCTTCCTTCTTTTCTTTGTTCCTCTTCAACTCCCCTCTTTTCTTCCCTCCCTCCCTCCCTCCCTCCCTCTCCTTTATCCCTTCCCTCCCTCTCTCTTTTTCCCTCTCTTTCCTTCCTCCTTTCCTCTTTAACTCC